AGTTGGCACAAGGCTGCTCGGTACCAGCCCCATCTCTCTCACTGCCCTTGGCTCTCTGCTCCTCCAGACCTCCAACACGCTGTGCTGGGCCCTGTACCACCTCTCCCGGGACCTGGGCATCCAGGAGACCCTGTACCAGGAGCTGAAAGCTGTCGTGCCCTCCGACCGGTTCCCTGGTGCTGAGGATATCCCCAAGATGCCGATGCTTCGGGCTATTATCAAGGAGACACTGAGGTACAGCCAAGCCTTGGCCCTGCCCCAGGTTCCCGGTCACTGGCTCCTTCTCCAGGGCCAGGGGCAGCCCCTTCTCCCCCCACACTGGGGGACACACCAGCCAGGGTGGCTGGTGGTGAGGGACAGGGGCCCCCGGGGGTGCAGGGCTGGATTTCAGTCCCTTGGGGCCACATCCATCCACCTCCTCCCTGGGGATGGTGATGGAGCTGCTGAGCAGCAGGAGATGCTCCTCCTTGTCCTGCTTGCAGGTCTCTCCCTCTGGGGTCTTCAAATCAGTCCTGCTCCCCCACTAACTCTCCCCACATTCCAGGGTCTACCCTGTGGTGCCCACCAATGCCAGGGTCTTCTACGAGAAGGACATTGTCATTGGAGACTACCTCTTCCCCAAGAACGTGAGCAGGGGTTGTGCCATGGGGACCCCCACTGTGCTCAGTGGGGATGGGCAGGGGGCATTAACTGCTCTCTTCTCACCTCACAGACCCTCTTCGTCCTGGCACACTACGCAATGTCCCACGATGAGACCTACTTTCCTGAGCCTGAGCGGTGCCTGCCCCAACGCTGGCTCCGGGGCCATGGCTCCCCCCACCACCCCTTCAGCTCCATCCCCTTTGGCTACGGGGGCCGCGCCTGTGTTGGCCGCCGCATTGCCGAGCTGGAGATGCACCTGGCCCTCGCCAGGGTGAGCCAGGACCCCCCACCCCAGGCAACTTGCAATGTGTTGGGATGAGGCCCTGGGGAGCCCCCAAGGCACTGCAAACCCCTTCTCCCCACAGATCATCCAAGCGTTCGAGGTGCGGCCGGACCCCTGCGGCGTGGAGGTGACATCTGTGTCCCGCATCGTCCTGGTGGCCGACAAGCCCATCAACCTGGAGTTCATTGCTCGCCCGGGGGCCCCCTGACTGCGCACACACCCCCCCACCCTGGGTGCCAAGTGAGGACCCCCCACACGAAGAGGGGCAGGAAGGCAAACCCACCCCAGCACCTCTCCCCTGCCTGGCTTGGGTCAGGGTCCCCCAGGCCCACTGCGGGGAAAGTGGGGGCAATGAGACATGCCCCCAAATCACCGTGGGGCACTAGTGTCCCCCCACCCCAAATCAGCCGGAGGCTTGGGGAACTGCTGTGCCTTTCACATGCCGCGAGGGGCTGTGTCCCCTCATTCTGTGCCCCGCTGGGCTACGCTGGGGACCCGGGAGCTCTGCTGGACCTGGGGGGATTGTGGGGAGGGGGCTTGCAGCCGTTCGGTGTCTCCTTCGTCCCGTCCTTGTGTAGCTGCGTATGGATCTGTGCCTGGAGCCAGGACATCTGGGTCCTCTCTGAACAGCTGACCTTGGCCTCAGCCACTTCTCCGTGCCTCAGTTTCCCCCC